TAGTGTGTGGCGTTCCTGGCATTGTCATTTATACACTCATTGCTAAGATTATTTCAAACTTTTCATTAATTTGGGCATAAAGTTTACACGACGTTTTTAACAGTCGTAGGTACAAATTTAAATTCTACCTTTGGTAAATATTTTCGTCACCGAATTTTCTACCCAAAGATTGCCTGAGAGAAATTGCTACTAAGCAGTAATATTGTACATTATTGTTATAGTTTTCTGAGCTGGCATTGTAATTTTTAATGGGCAACAAAGATTTTTTTCAACAAAGATTCATTAACATTCGTGGATTATGAACAATTTTGTAACACTCTGTACTCTGTGATTGGAATTAGTACAAAATACTTATCGTAATCATAAAATAAATAAGTTAACAAAACATATATTTTCGCACTTCTACATCTGTTTTTTTTGCAATGTAAAATTAAATGATAGTAATTTATAATTATGTTCCCTTTTAATAATGCTTGGTCATAGAGAGTCGCTAATGTAAAAAAATCTCTTTGACCAAGCATAAAAATGTTTACTAAAAAGAACATTCCCAAGACGATTGGTGAAAAAAAATGTAATAATATTCGAACATTCCTCAATAAAGGTTGATAAAAAATAAAGACGTCAATTAATATCGTTAATGCTAATTTTGATAGACGATTTTCTTAAATTGTTTTTATTTATGTGTTAGACCAGTCAGTATTGGGTTATGGCGGTACTTATTTATTTACTGTTATTTGGATAATTTGTCCCTTTTAACATGGATGGAAGTAACTTACAATTTTGATGAAAAACACTTATTTAAATAGCTCAATACACAATAATATTATTTATTTATTGAGCCATAAGCTGAAAACGTAACAAATAATTAAGAAACTCAAAGCGTTATATACAGTCAAGAGCACGTCAAGCTTGACACTTTGTACTTCGGACCGTTCTTGTCGTAAGTGGCATGGAGTTGAGTTTAAATCTTAAGTGTCAAGCATGACGTGCTCTTGACTTTGTACTTAAATTAAAAGTTAATTTGTGTAAAAAATTAATAATTGTTTTTTGTCAGTATTGTACGTAACGTCCATTACTGTTGTAAGGTAGGAATTGTGTTAACAGAGTGTAAACATGGTCCGAGCATTTTTCATCTGGTAACTTATGATAACAACAAATAACAATTTTAAATTCTTGGAAAAAACCTTGATTCTTCATGCGAAATGTTGTACAATCCTTTGGACATGTTAAAGAGAAAAGTAACATGAACAAAAGTAAAATGTATTAAAGTTGTTTGTTGTCGTAGCTCATAGTTGCTAGTTGAAATATGGTCAAACATTTTAGTTTCACCCTTTATACTTATCTCATAATTAATAGACCACTAAAATTTTTTTTTTGTTAAATTCTGACTGAAAAATATTCCTATTATTCTATGAACTCATGACTAAATTAATAATTTTCAGCAATTTATGTTTTTTTACTGTTTATAATAAATGTATATGTATATAATTATGTTGTCAATTTGGCGTTATTACGTTATTAGACTAATAAGTAAATAAATCAAATTTTGTATTGAAGTATGTGTTTTGTGTAATCTTTTCCACATTGCGAAGCGTAAATTCCCAATGACTCCCTGTACCTATACTATACACTTAAATAATAAATAATGATAATGTATATATATAAATGCCTTCAAATCATCACACCAATTACCCAAACTAAGGATTCCCTCGTATACATCACTTCACTTTTTATTTTTATGGCTCCATCATTATGAGAAATGATGATTTTGCCAATGTCACGGCTGAAAGAAAAAAAACGAAACAAAAAAAAAATTCGCTAAGTTCTTATAAGACATTAACCGGTGTTGGTAAGTTGGACCACGGGAGTACTCAGTTGAGAATGTAAAACAAAAGACAACATTTATAAATATATGTTATTTAAGTGGATAAATTTACAAAGAGTAACAATATGGGGGGAGAACACTAAAGTTAAGAGGTTATTTATGTTAATGGGGCGGGGGAATTTCGGAGAAAGTAAGTTATAAAGTGGAACAGCAATATTAGGACAATTGAAAAAAATGTGTTCCAAGGTACCGTCTTCTAGGCCGCACTCGCACAAAGAGTGATCTCGGACTCTGATTTTACGCAAAAATACAGGGGTGCAAACATGGCCTAAGCGCAAACGAATAATAGTGGAAGTGATGTTTTTAGGCAAATCGCGACGTTTGAAAAACCAGGGTTTAGTGGGTAGATTTGGTTGGAGGTTACCATAGTGTCTACCAACAGTTTGTCGTGATTCCTGCCAAAGGACCGACCAGGAGGCTAGCATTTGGGGTTTGGTCATGACGAGCAGATCTCTGGGAAAGCACTTACAGTATTTGCATACGCCAATTCTTGTCGCATCCTTTGCAAAGGCGTTTACTGCTTCGTTGCCACTAATCCCACTGTGACCGGGAATCCAGGCCAGAGTTACCTCAATTCCCGCACAATGACATCGGTACAGAGTTTCCTTAATTTGGAGGGTGATAGAGCAGTTGTCTTTGGAATGAAACGGTAGCTTAATAATGTCTTCGAGGCAACTTAGTGAGTCTGAGAAAACCAAACATTTATTAATTTTATGGGACTCAATATATAAAATGGCTTCGAGTATTGCAATAGCTTCTCCCGAAAAGACCGAATTCAGATAGGGGGATTTAAAACTGAGTACGACATTGAGCTTGGGGAACCAAACCGTGGCTCCCAAGTCGCCATGTTCGTGTAATTTTGAAACGTCGGTAAAAACAGTAGTCCAGTCGTGCCATTCTCTCTCAACTATATCGTCGAAGACTTGGTTTGCTCCAGGGGTGTCTTTCATGATGCCAAAACTAAGATGGACTGTTGGGCGAAACGTTAAACATTTAAAATCAGTTTCAAACAACAGGTTCATATAATTTTGGGAAATAGGGAAAGGGAGATTGGACATTTTGTTAAAACTGTTGATAAGGGGGGGAGGTTTCTTGTGTGACCAATAATTGGAGGAAGGGATAATCTCCGACAAGTAATGCAATACGGGAATCAAAGGGTGAGAAGAATATTGAAAGATCTTGAAGAGAATCTATTAGCAAGGAATTGTCTACGTAGATGTAGAGGGGGCTCCAGACGTTCGACTTGAAGAGCGTTTGTTGGTGAGGATTTCATGGCACCTGTGATTATTCTCAGGCATCTTGCCTGGATTCTGTCCATCTTAGCCAAGGCTATTTTGTTGCATGGTTCCAGAAGGAAGCCGCCATAATCAAAATGACTTCTGATGATTGCGTTGTACAGGAGCTTTTGGTTATACGGATGTGATCCCCAACGAACACCAGAAAGTGCACGTAGGACATTTATGCTTTTTGACAAATATAGTTGAGGTAATGGATGCCAGATAATTTTGAGTCCAAAATAATGCCTAAAAATTTTACTTTTTCCCTCAGTTCTATGTTTTCCCCATTAACATGTATTTCAGTTTCAGGAAGGCGACTAAGGAGTAAATGTCCCAGTCTGCCTGCCTAAGCCTGTATTTAAGTAAGGGAGGGGGGTCTGGTGTGAGGATAGGTGAGGAGTCTCCTACTGAAATTAATATAGGTAGGTGATCGCTTCCAAAGGAATTTATCAGAACAAGCCAGGAGGTAGAAGGGGCTAAACTAGGAGAGACTAAGGTTAAGTCAGGCGCGCTGGTATTTTGAAGGGGGGAAGTTCTGCGTGTAGGAGAGCCATACATAAATGTATACATACATAAACGTAGTGACTATGCATTGACGTAGTAAGTCAATGTGACTATGGCAATTTTTTTCACAGAAAATTGTGATTTTTTTGTGTACAATTCCGTTATACCTGAGCCTCAATAAAAAAATTATTTAATTATCTGTGGAAGCTTCAGAATTTCAAATCATGGTGTTGTTATCCAATACTTATCACAATTAGTATGAACAATATCGATGTTTCTGAATCGATTTAATTTGTTAATTAAAAAATTTTACATTTAATTATACAGTGAAATAAATAATGAATATCAAAAACCAAATCAATAGCGAAAGTCTATTGTACCTTATTTTTATGTGCACACATAAAAAAGCTCTTTATTTAGCCCACACAATGAAATAACAGTTTAAAATGCACCTAATTTTTGTGTATTACAATATTTTCCATAAAAACTAATAATTAGTTGTTTATAAGTAAAGATTGAAATAGCCAAGAACTCCAAATAAGATTTTGTTCTTCTGTTCAATTTTATACATTACTAAACTTATTTTATTGTGCCCAAAGTCATACACGTAATTTTTTTGCTGTTGTAACAATAAATTACTTGAAAAGCGCCTTAAAAACTAACCAACAAGTCAACCGTGATCATGGGACCTGTAAAGAGCCCGAAACGAACGATTGTTTGAAAAAATAAATAATCGCGTTTTAAATCCGGAAAAATAGTTTCATTTCCTAAGCACTTTAAATTTCATATTGAATTACGGGTTGAAAGTGTAATTTTAATAAAAAACGACCATTATCTTAGTTCTAAAAATAATAGCTATATTCTTCTTATTGTAGCTATAACATACACTATAATGCCATCGTAGTGAAAGGATTTGCCATTCGACGTAAGGCAGGAAAGGCATGTGACGTCTCGTGCGATCGCGATGAAGAAATAACTTATAGCGGTTACACATGGCGATGCAATCGCCTCTAGATGCCAAGCGTAGCGATGCATTCGCACGTTTTTATCGATGCAGTCGCGGGCTTGAATCGCTGCTAAAAGTCGCCGCCGCCGTGTGTAATAAACCAGGGTAATAAATAAGGTAATAAATCGATTTTAAAACATTAACGTTTTATATCGATAATATAATCGGCAAACTAAAGAGTTGCGTGCCTATCACTACAGTGCATTGGACGGGCAAACTGTCAAGACGTTTTTACTTTTGGGAGAATGTAGAAACAGTGATTTACACGTTTTATATCGTTGTTTTTCTGTGATTATTTACTTTGTTTATGAAGAATAGAGTGTTGGCCGTCTAACTGTCATACGATGGCAGCCACGGCGCAGAACGAGGTCTCGGTGATCGAGCTGAAGGCTGAGATCGAGAGACTCAGTCGGGAGCTTGACCAGGCCAGTAGCGAGAAGATACAGTCAGCACAGTTGGGACTGGTCCTTCTAGAAGAGAAGAGCGCCCTACAGCAAAGATGCGACGAGTTAGAAAGCCTGTACGAGAACACAAGACACGAACTGGAAATCACTCAGGAGGTTAGTGTCCTACATTCTGTAGTATAATTTTCACTTTTCATGCATTGACGGGTACACGAAACGTGCACAAACAGAGATATTTAAGTTAATTTTACCTCTTCCTATTCATCTTTTGCACTACTTTTAAAAATTAATATAAAAAAACTTTGTTTCATGATCTTAATAAATAATATAACCTACATGTTGCGTTTAGCGGGACTTTTTGAATATATTTCGCTGTTCGCGCTCTGAAATTCACGATATGTCTAACTGTACTCATTAAATGCATACTTTATGTTGAAATAGTTGGCAAACAACTTTTTTTCATAAATACTTTTGTTTAAAACTGGACTTCTTATATATTTTAAAACATTTTGAAATAAATGGGTAGGTTTTTATTTTCTCATTAAAGATTTATATAGGTACTACATACGGTATATATATAGGTGTACAATAAAAAATAAAGAAATATGGGATAGTGTAAAAATACATTATTAGCTTAATATGTTATATAAATTATTACATATCATTAGCTTTCTAGAATAGCTATCTCATCAAAAACGGCTATTTTGTCACAAAGATGGAATAAAAAATGCTTAAAGTATCTGGTGTGCAAAGCTGATGAATTGTACACTGATGCAAAGTAGTCGTGTGATTATGTTTAACCAATGGAAAGCGAGTCTTATTTACAATAAAATGTAGGAGACTGTGTAATGCACGTAATTTAAAAAAATAATTATTCATTTGAGGCCACTGTTGATATAATTACTTTGGTTAATTAATCATGAAAAATGATAAATTCCAATTTGGAAATGTAACCTCCATCTGACCTTGCAAGTACTTTGATTGATGCATACATTTGTTCATGTAGCACTCCCTATTTTTTTCTTTTTTATTTAGAAAACAATAGCTTTATAATAAATTACTCACATGTAAAGATAATTTAATAAATTTCATTAAGTTAAAACAACTATCACATACCTCACGAAAGCTGTACAGTCGACAGCACATCAAGCTATACTCTTTTATTAGAATATGGCCTCCAGATTAATGGAACAAGATCCCTCAATGTGAAGTTCGATATGCTGCCATCCGTAGGTATACATTTTTAGGCAATCATCATCAGATTTCTATGACTTGTACTTGGTGCATTCTGGAGACACTTAATCAGAATCACAAAATTTTCTTTTAAAAACGGTTATGGTTTTTAATGATATCTCAAAAAAATATTTTGTCACTCAGCCGCCTCTTAATTAGCGGATTATGATTCCCAAAGAAATCAAAACAAATCAACAGTAAAATACTTATACATACTTTTGAATTTAAACTGTAATAATGCAGACACTCATTGCCCCGCACTAGGGAAACCCTGTATCGCGGATGCCAGGAACACACACATCCACAAATTACACCCAAACTCATGAGTGAAATAAATGTAGTCCATTAAAATATTTCTCCCACCACAAGAATTGAACCTGGGACCTCTTGTATGGCAGTCCAGCATGGTAACCATTCGGCCACGGAGGAAGTTGATATATCATAGATATTATATACTATCATTGATGATTAATGTGATAATTACTAGACGTGGAAGTTTGTATTTAGGTGCATTTGGAAATCTGAAGATTGCCTAGAGATATAGAGAAAAAGTTGTATGGTACAACTTTTTTTCTATATCTCTTGGCAATATATGCCCTTCAAAAATTGTTCAATACCTTCACGGCCACTTGTGAAAACTCCTGCTCTAACTAGTAGGCATGTGCAGAAACTAATACTTACATTTTGTTCTCAGGCACTGATGAAACTGGATTCAACACAAAAAGTAACAACACGGAGTGGTATTGAACAGGAAAATGCATTGCTCAATGAATCAGCAGCTATGGAGAGCTCTCTCACTCTTCAAATCATCGAGCTGGAAGGAGAAACTAAACAGGTAGGAAGTATAAGAAATATGAGAACATCACTAATATCAGGTTTCTTACCATGGTATGACTTCTTTTTATTTTCCCGATATTTCGGAACGAGGAGGAAAAGAGCAAAATATACAAAATTATTTAGCACGTCTTAACAACACCCATAACAAAATGAAGTTCACTTGTGAAATTGAGAAAAGTCGCGCGCTTGCATTTTTGGATGTATTGGTCAAAGTCCGACAAGACGGTTCACTCGGTCATTCTGTGTACAGAAAACCAACTCACACAGACAAATATTTACATGCCACTTCACATCATCACCCAAAACACCTACATTGGGTCGTCAGGTCATTAACCAATAGAGCTTATGATCTTTGTGATGTACACTACCTACCACAGGAACAGGAGCCAAATACCCGTAATGGGTAAATGGACTTGTCCACTTACGTCTTAAGGT